GAAAGAATTTTACTTTTCAAAGAGAAGAGCGAACTGGTGGGGGAGGGGTAGGCAGGGAGAAAAATGCAACAGTGAATGAATGAATAGAAATCCAACATCTCTGTAAACGGTCATTAAAATTAATAAAATTTAAAAAAGAAATAACACTTTTAAAAAAAATATTCAGCTGATAACATGCATTGACAAGACTCCAAATTGTTATGTATGCTTTGTATTAAGGGATATTAAAAACCATGACACCTTCTCCCCAGTGGAATGTTACATTGACAACCAAGATTGGCAGAGCTTCCCACAATTTACCATCACACTATTTCCTAGCTTCCACACTATTTACCACAAGATAAACTACTAATAAATTATCTCCCCTCTTTTGGGATTTCCTCTTTCGTAAAATTATTTCTAGAGCTACTAAAAAACTTTCCTTTACAAGAGTTGATAAGACAGGGAAGCTCTGGCGAGAAAGCTGCACTGCAATCATGAAGGCACTCAGTTCGAATCCATCAGTTGCTCCGCTGGAGGAGGGGCTATCTCCTCCTGTGCCAGTTGGATCTGATTCCAGGGTACACAACAAGGTGGGGAGAGAGTTGATAAATATTCCTCCAGGGTTGGGAGGAATATGCTTTGGGATTGGAGAAGAGAGATAAGGGCTCATGATAAGGCCTGATAGAGAACTATGGTTTAGACTTGAGGTTTTTCTTTGATTTTTTTTTGCCTATCCCTTGCGACTCTTTTCCTTTGCTCTCCTTTTCCCTTTTGTATGCACTTTCTTTGTCAGAAGGTTTCTCCTCTCCTGCTGCCTTTTTTGGCTCCCATTTCTACTTTTGCAGGAGGTTTAGCTGACAGCCTGCTGGCTCTTGGTCCCCTCCTCCATCACCCCTTGTGGGGGGGAGGAGGCTGCCCTTCCTTTCTGGCATTTCCGTGCTGGAGAGGGCATGCCTCCAGAAAAGCTTAAGGGCCACAGTTTTTTCTTAAAGCCGCAGATTCTTTGAAAACTGAATCTTAACCATCACTGTTGTACAGAGAGCTGAGGTGGGGGCTGGCTTTTTCTGTTTCAGAGCTCATTCTCTATTTAATTAGTTGCATAAATTAAATTACCAAGTTCTCTTAAAATATGACTAAGATACTTATGCTTTCTGGAAATAATTTTAAATAGCTGCTGAAAAATATGTCAAGAGGTGGGAGAAAAATCTTCCCATCTTAATACATGGCAGCTTGTTACAGCAATTACTTTAAAAACGGAATATTGCTTCTAGCTATAATTAATCCATCTGACTTCCTAGCATAGCATTTAAGGGGGCTGTTCATTCTGGAACATAAGGGAAACCAGTCTGTCATCTGTTAGAACAAATTCCAAGGTTCCCGAGTACTTCGGGAGATTAGGCAGATCTAGAAAGAAATTCAGATTATCACTCTAAGTTAGCACATTATCTTTTGTTAAGCTGGTTGGCTGTCCACAGAGAATTGCCCTTTTTAAATTATATTCTTTTAAAGTCTATTTTTCCTTTTTATTATAGACTTTGATTATATCTTGGACTTATTTTAAATCTATTTTTACTAATTTTTGATAGCATAACAAATGTACATCCATTCACAACTTCTCTAATAGTTCAGTGGCATTTATATATTTATATTGTGGTGTTATATATATTCTATCTCTCTCCCCCCACCCCAAGTTGCTTTGTCACCATCGGTTTGGGCTCTCTGTCCATTAAAGTTCTTTTTGTCCTTTAGTTTACTGTCACCAGTTTACAACTATATAAATAGAGGGATACCCGTGCTTTTGTGTGTGTGTGTGTGTATGTATCTGACTGGTACAGGAGGAGCTTTCTCCTCCTTCTCCAGCAGAAAATCTGGTGGGTTTGAACCAGGCCCCTCTGGGGTTACAGTGCAGCTTCTTGCCATTAGGCCACCAGAGCCCAAGTAACCTTATTTTTAAGGAGCCCTGGCATCAGTGTGTAGCTATTGGGCTACTAACTGAAAGGTCAGTGGTTTGACCCACCAGCCCTTTAAGAGAGAAAGATGGACAGACTTCTCCTAGAAAGATCTATAGCCTCAGAATCTTTGAGTCAGAACCAACATAATGGCAATGAGTTAATGCTAATTAATGTTAAACTATTGTTTCGTTTTCATTCAAGTTTAAACACTGTTTAAATGGCATTAGGTTTAGGGATTCTCCCAGTCTTCATAACTCTAATAAGTCTGGTTTCCATAGTGTAAAGTTTGGTATCCTGGTTTTCCTCCTTTTAATATAGAATTTGTCTATTAAGTCCTTTAGCAAAACATACAGTAATGTTTATATTCAAATGATTTCTTAAAATCCTTTTTTTTTTTTTTTAACTTCAGGGCCTCAGTTTGCTGAAGATCCCTCCCAATTGCCTTCAACCCAGTTACCTTCCTCACCGTTTGGAGACTATCGTCAGTACCAGTAGGATTAAGACTCATGTCCTGGAGTTAACAAACAAGCTGTAGTTGAAGAATGATTTTGGAAGACCAAGTTGCAGTCTGTTTTTAAAATCATAGGTGGGACAGTTCTG